ACAACTCATGGCCAACCGTCCAGAGCATGCAAATGGAAAGCTCTGGGTGGGGGCTCCAATGGGTTTCTTTTTTCATGAATTTTGTTTTTTTTAATAAGCAGTAAAGTGGGGTCAAAAATATTCAGCCTTCTGAATTCTACAAGACAGGAGTGAAATGATTAAAGGCAGACTCTGAATGGAGATTTCTGCCTTATAACCTAGTGAGGGAAGAAGAGTCAGGCCTGCTAGCACAAAGCCCTCCTGGCCCGCGCCCCCCAACACACACACACACACACACACACACACACACTCACACCCACCCCCACCCAAAATAAATTAACTGGAGAACTTTTGCATTAAGACTGATTCCAACCCATTCACAATTTAAATAATTACATTTTTACAAAACTGCATGACACTCATCTCGGTACTAAAATAAGCAGTTAAATAAGTTGTTTATTTTCATTTAAAAGAATGCAGTATGAAATAAGTGAATCAATTGACTTATTTTTCTTAAGGAAAATCAGTTGCATTTGGAAAAGTGGCTAGAATACCTATAGGTAAGGAATTATTAGACCTTTGTTATTGGCTACTGGTCCTTAACACTTATGCAATTAATGTTTTATGAACAAACAGATCTGCACACTGATCCTAAACTCTAGTCATAGTGCTTTTTACAAACAGGCCCTGAAACACATCAGTGTGGTCAGTGAGAGAACTGGTGTTGGTTTCCGTTCTCGAGCATCTTAGTCCATGCTTGTACTGTCCACACATTTTTGATAAGTACTTTTATTTTTTTAATCTTTTTATTGATTTCAGAGAGGAAGGGTGAGGGAGAGAGATAGAAACATCATTGATCAGCTGCCTCCTGCACGGCCCCCACTAGGGATCGAGCCCGCAACCCAGGCATGTGCCCTTGGCCGGAATCAAACTCAGGACTCTTCAGTCTGCAGGCCGATGCTCTACCCACTGACCCATTCCTGCCAGGGCGGTACTTTTTAAATAACACTGTATTTGGCATTGCTGACAGAAGTGACTATTTTGCATCAGCAAATGTATTGACTGTACTAAAAGTGCAGACATTGAATTATAGGTCATTGCTATGAGAAGTAACATGCATGGATATGTACATTCAAGGAATTTTCTGCTAAAGAATTTGTAGGACATCAGCTGGCCCTCTGAGTACACCGATTTTTATTTTTTATCTACATGCACTGATAGCCATATTCCCTTTCTTTCAAACCTCATTACTTTTTAAATTATAAAGTTTATAAAAGGGAAAGGAAGAAAAAAGGTGATTTTTTTCCTTCAATGTTATAGACCTTTTGCACTTGAAGTATATTTTTTCCCTCTTGGATTTTTGGGGTGGCTATTTATAACATTGAATAAACACACACCATTCAACAATGAATTTTAATTATACATTTTAATTATACAACTACCACCTCACCTGCCAGTTTGCAGATAGCTGCTACTGATCATTAGCCTGTTTGATTCATATTAAAATGGTGGCCGAAACCGGTTTGGCTCAGTGGATAGAGCGTCGGCCTGCGGACTGAGGGGTCCCGGGTTCGATTCCGGTCAAGGGCATGTACCTGGGTTGCGGGCACATCCCCAGTAGGAGGTGTGCAGGAGGCAGCTGATCGATGTTTCTCTCTCATCAATGTTTCTAACTCTCTATCTCTCTCCCTTCCTCTCTGTAAAAAATCAATAAAATATATTTAAAAAAATAATAATAAAAATAAAATGGTGTACTTAGTTTTCTGAAGCCCAGAGACCTGGAGAGCATGACACCTCCACTTTTGTTCTTCTGTCTCAAGGTATGACATTTGTGGTCTTTCGTAGGTCCATAGGAATTTTAGGGTTATGGATGAACCTAGAGGGTATTATACTAAGGGAAACAACTGAAGGACCAGTACTTTATGACTATGAAACCTCCATGTGTTATGCACTTTTCCGTATGTAGCTCATAGCTCACTATTTAATACAAGAATTGCTCAAAAAAAGAACTGAAGCCACTAGGTTGACTCATTAAATTGATAAAATTTCTGATTCCTAAACATTCATAGCTAACACTTATACCCAAACTCAGTAGACATAAAGCATAACTTCCCAAGTTTCTTAGTCCCTTGTATGTGCAGGGCCATTAAAACCCTACAGGAGCCCTGGCCTGGTTGTCCCATACACCCAAAAGGTGTGGGTTCGATTTCTGGTCAGGACACATACCTAGGTTATAGGTTTGATCCCTAGTTGGGGCAATTCAGGAGGCAACCAATCGATGTTTCTCGCTTACATCAGTGTTCTCTCTCTCTCTCTCTTTCTCTCTCTCTCTCTCTCTCTCTCTCTTTCTCTCTCTCTCTCCCTTCCTCTCTTTAAATAAACAAATATATATACATACACACCCCTCCTCAGGTGAGGATGAAAAAACAACAAAAACACTAGAGGTAAAATGGAAATCTCTGGAAAGATCAGATCCACCACCTCAGATAAGAATGTCAGCAGCCACCTGGGCCTGCCTTATTCCTCATTCTCCAGAAGGAAAAACGAAAGACTCCTCTCCTAGTCAACAAATATGTGCCATGCTCTTTCTACCATCCAGCTGTTGTTTCACAGAATTTTTGTTTAATATGAAATGCTGATGAGGGCTCCCAGGCCTAGCTGGGGCAGGGCGTCTGCCCTCCCTGGAGTCCAGCTTTCTATTTTCTCTTCCTAAGAAACAGTTACCCCAGATGGTTGGGGGTAAAAGAGCCAGTTGAGGCTCCATGACCTCCTATCCTTGTGTCATGACACAGGGTCACCCTCCAGTGCAAACATACAAGGTCAACCTCCTCAGAACGGGGAGCAGGAAATTGGTCACATGCACATGACCTAGTGCTGTGGTCGGCAAACCTCGGCTCGTGAGCCACATGCGGCTCTTTGGCCCCTTGAGTGTGGCTCTTCCACAAAATACCACGTGCAGGCGTGCACGTACAGTGCGATTGAAACTTCGTGGCCCATGCGCAGAAGTCGGTATTTTGTAGAAGAGCCCGTATTTTGTGGAAGAGCCAGTATTGTGTGGAAGAGCCATACTCAAAGGGCCAAAGAGCCGCGTGTGGCTCGCGAGCCACAGTTTGCCGACCACTGGGCCCCTAATGGAAGAATGGAGCCTTATCACTAAAGTTAACGAGGATGAGCACATTAACCAGCCTCAAGGGTAGACCATGTGTGTCGCATTCAGGACAACCTGGCTTCAAATCCCAGCTTTGCTGCTTAATGTTGCTGTGACCTTGTAAAAATCCCAAAGTATAAGAATGAAATAAGCCCTGGCTGGTTTGGCTCAGTGGATAGAGTGCCAGTCTGCGGACTGAAGGATCCCAGGTTCGATTCCGGTCAAGGGCACACGCTTGGGTTGTGGGCTCGATACCCAGTAGGGGGCGTGCAGGAGGCAGCCAGTCAATGATTCTCTCTCATCATTGATGTTTCTCTCTCCCTCTCTCCCTCTTCCTTCCTCTCTGAAATCAATAAAAAACATATTTCTTTAAAAAAGAATGAAATAAGAGCTTAAGATTCCTCATCTGGCCCTGGCCAGGTGGCTCAGTTGGTTGGAGCATCATCTCCTACACCAAAAGGCTGTGGGTTCAATTCCTGGTCAGGGTATATACCTAGGTTTTGGGTTCATGATATTTCTCTCTCTCATCCCCCTTCCTCTCTCTGAAATTCAATAAACATATCCTTGGGTGAGAATTCCTCATCTGTGATAAGTTTGAGACAACAGTTTTTACTCTTTACAAAGATGTGAAGAAGAGGTGGGGGGAAAGATGTAAACCTTCTGGAACACAGTAGGCACTCAATAAATGCTATTGCTCTTATCAAAAAAAAAAAAGCAAGGACATTGGGAGCACTTTCACTGAAGGTAAAATGAATCTTGTTGTTTCCCACCCAGCTGTGACTCCATACAGCTGGTTGACCTTGGGGCAATTCTTGGTCCTCTCTTCTCATGTGATCGGAAAACATAAAAATACTTACCTTAAAAATCCTTGGAAATTCTTAACAGAAGAGTTAACTCCACCAATAGAAATAACTCTTGTCTCCCAACTTGAATACAATGATCAATTATGAGGAACACAGGATTTAAAAAGGAGATTTAGGTAGCTTATCTAGTGGCCAAGCTATAATTGCCATGTTAATTAAGACCAGTAAAGACACACGTAACTACAATATAGATTTCCCAAAAGCCCAAATTTAACTTTAGAGTTTCTAGTTCCTTTTCCTGAAAACCCACACTTCCCAGCAATAACAAATACATATTCTAAGTAATGAAGGTACTGATGGTTAGGATAATACAAAAAAGGTAGGAAAGGTCAAGAATAAAGATCCTAGATAAAACAACACACCAAATAATTTACAAGTCACAGCTGACAACTGTGAAATGTTCCTACTGTGGACTCACCTCTCACAGGAGAGCCTGCCACTGTAAGGAGGGGTGGGCACGGCTGGCAGAAGCAGGTTACACTGAAGCCATTACAGTGGGTTTTTCATTTGTAAGAATGTGCTCTTTGGCTCTCCCTCCCTTCCCTTCCATCTTTCCCCCAGGCACGTGGTGACCTCTACCTTTCTCTCTCTCAGCTCCTAGGCGCCCTTCTTCTGCCTCTGTAACTTGTTTCCTGAGCCTACGCAGCCCAGCTGGCTCACTTCTACTACCTCTGTCACTTTCTAAATAAACTTGTTCTTATAATTTGAAAACAAACAAACTGTTCTTTGTTAAGGTGACACAGACCTTTGATTAAAGGTTTCACAGGGTAAGAAACATGTGACGATATTAAGCAGAGCTAAGGAGCCACACCCTACGCTGCTGGCCCGGACTGCACTTTTCACAGAGGAGAGCCAGGTTTCAGATCTTCCACAGCTTCCGTTGTGCCCGGTGGTTTTCAACCAGTCTTCCAATGAGAAGGCACCGAAAGCTCTGCAGAGCATCTAGCCCCCCTGACGCACCGGGCACCCCTCCCTGCTTCCCCAGCTCCAGAAGGTTCCACCGTACCTACCATAATGGTGTGCTCTGGAAATCTGGCACGGACGAGTTTCACAAATTCCACAAAGTGCTCCGAATAGCCATTGGCCACATCCAGGCAAATAAACTTAACCTGTGGCACAGCTTCCAGGATGCTGCTCATCTTTTCCAGATCATGCTTCCCACTGCCGGAGCTCACGGCTACATGCTGTACCGAACAGAAACCAAGAGGGGCGAGACATGGACAGTGAGAAGTCTTCAGAAGCCAGACCCTGCCTCCATCCACTCACCTGTTCTGGGACAGTACAGTGACCCTCGGAGGTCAGTTACCCTGATCGAACCTGCACAGAGTGGCCCTGCTGGAGAACCAGGCAGCAGCAGAGGTGAAGGAATCCCTTCCTTACGTCATCTAAACTCTGCCCCTGCTCTTTCCCACCGTTAAACTGCATGTATCCTTGACCCTGGCCCTCAGCCACGAATGGTTCTAGCCAACAGTGTTTTACGTAGTCAGGAAACCTTGTCCGTGGCGTTCGTTCATGTGTCCTTGGCTCTCTATGTGGGACTCTGAATCGTGGAACCATTGGTGCGAATTCTCCTCCTCCTGGCGGAGAGGAGAGGCAGGAAGGATGATGGGGAGGCCAGTCAACTCGGGCCTCCGGATGCCCACACTGTGGCCATCACCCCCAGCATCTCGCTCTGGGGCTCAGGAGGAGGGAGGGAAAGGGGTCTAAAACCCTTTTCTATTTTCATTTCTACTCCCAATACAATACTAACACAACATGCAGATCGTAACCCAGAGAGCTGCAAATCTCAGTGTTCCTATTAAAAGGGCCAAGAACAAAGGAGCCTGAAAGCATCATTCCCCAACTGCACTTGGATGTGTTTACATCTGAAGCCACCGCACCCCCTCCGTGACCCCCCTCCCCAACCTCCACAGCACCAGCACCCTCCAACCCACCCACCGGCTCCTCAGAAAGATGCTCTTTGGGAAAAGACCTCTGTGTTTAGTAATTTATGCCTCAGTGAAACTAAGCCATGGGACTGTGCCCAGAGTTGGCATCTCACCTTTATAAGAATATAAGAATATTTTAATTTGTTATCCATAAACCACAGAGGAGGGACATATATTAATATCCTTGTTATTCCGCCCCCCAAAAATCACAACAATGTAGCTACAGCCCAGTGGTTGTAAGAGAATTGTAACAGGATTCATGCTGACTCATTTCCTGGGTTTACTCTTCTTTCACTCCTGTTGGCAGTGTGACCAGGCGGCACAACCCACACATCTTTTCCCTCCCACGAGAGCTTTTTTATTTTGCCCTCCATTTCCGTCTCTCTCAGTGCTGCTGTTTATAACATTTTCCCTTTTCAGAAAAATCAGCCTTTAGTTTGGAGGGGGCTGGCTAATAGGTAAAATGACCTCACTCCTTCATGAAAGCCAAGGTTCCAATCAACCACACATGGCCCCAAAGTCACTGCCTTCCCGACTTCCAACAGAGAAGAGGGAGAGAGAAGGTGAAACAAGTATAGTTCTTGTGAACACAATATGTCAAAAAGGAAGGATTTGCTATTGAGCCAGAATAATTTTATCTCCAAAACCACCTTCTCACTAATCAAAATCCACACATAATTAAAACATAGCAAAAAAAAAAAAAAAAAAAAAAAAAAAGCCAGCGCAACCTCAAATGCCGCCCACTGTGAAGTCATTTTGCAATCACGGTAATCTGATCGGAGGAGAGTGTCTCCAAGGCGGAGGCTCTGCTGGCCCTGGCTCCGAACCAACCGAACCAACCACGTGCCAGGAGGGAACTCAGGCACATCAGAGTGGGGCTTTTTGTTATTTTCAAATTGCCCTTAAAAAATAATAACAGCTTTATTGAGATAAAAATCACATACCATCCAATTCACCCATTTAAAGTCCACAGTTCAGTGGTTTTTAGTACATTCAGAGCGGTGCGACCACCATCATAATCAATGGTAGAACATCCTCACCACCCCAGAAGGAAACTCGCACTCCTTTTAGGCCTCGCCCTCCAACCCTCCCATCCCTCAAGCAACCATTAATCTACTTTCTGTCCCTAGAGGTTTGCCTATTCTTGATGGTGGTTTGCCTATTCTTGATGGTCCATGTAAACAATCACATATGTGGTCTTTTGTATCTGGCTTTTTCACTTAGCAAAGTGTGTCAGTACTTTTTATAGTTGAATAACATCCCATTGTGTGGATATATCAGTTTTCATTCATCAGTTAGTTGATGGATATCTGGCTTGCTTCTACCTTTTGGCTATTATGAACAATGCTGCTATGCACATCTCTGTATACATTTTGGTGTGGACATTTTTTTTTTTATTTCTCTCAGGCCTATAACTAAGACTGGAATTGCTGAGTCATATGGTAACTCTTATAATTTAACCTTTTTGAGGAACTGCCAAACTTTTTTCCAAAGTAATGGCACCATTTTACATTCCCACCAGCAATACAGGAGGGTTCCAATCTCTTCACATCCATGCCAACACTAGTTACTCTCTGTCTTTTAATTATAGCCCTCCTAGCAGGCATACTGTTTATTCAACACCAAAACAACTTGCTACAATTAGAAGGTTTTCCTACATCCAGAAGGAATGTTTGGATTGGATCTACCCCTGGCAGGAAACAGAGGTCTTCCCCAAGCCCTCATACCATAACACTTCACCTTTCAAGGGAAAAACACAGATACTCCTTGCAAGTAAATCCTAATACTTTCAAAACAGGACACAGAACAGATTTCCTTAGCAAATCCCTGGCAACAACGAAGGGCTGGAGCACCACTACTGCGGTTACCCAGGTCTCTCTCAGGGGTGTGTGTGTGTGTGTGTGTGTGTGTGTCTATCCGCCGCTGATTCAAATCCTTTGGACAACCCCAAAGATTTTCTACCCTTTGCAACAAATACCTGCAGGCATTCTGGGTGATCAGTGGCAAAGAGCTTCCAGTCGTCCAGGGTGTAATGCTTGTGAATTGCTGTAAACATGGAGTGCTAGGAAACAAAAAGCACCGTTAGGATGAAAAGTCAAGTGAGCCTCCTTCCTCCGTAAGGCGGAGAGGCGGGGGTGAGCCAACCATACAAAAGCATCGGAGGTTCCTGCCAGTCACGTTTAATTAGCTTTGAATATGCTCCTAGGAGCCAAAAACAGACAAAGATGAAGCTAGTGAAATCACAAAAGGATTTTTCCATTCTAATCTCATCAGAAAATACCACCATCAGTATTTAAGAGGCTCTGCCAGGAGGCAGGGGAGGGAAGAGGGAGAGTTCTGAGTCCTGTCCCGCTAACCACCTGCATTAGGCCAAGAGCAGGTCCCCTGCCCATAAGACGGGCCTCCTTAAGGCCAATTCTGCTTAGCCAACCCGAGAGAACCTCAACTTATACCTGAAAGCTTTTCCTTGTGGTCACAACCTAAGCATTTCTTGCTAAAAGCTAAACCCATCAGGCAGTGGGTATCCCTAAGGAAGGAAATTATATAAATTATAATAGGAAGTCTATGACTATCAACCTGGCATTTATTGAGTACCTACCTTGTGCGAGCAGTTTGCATACATTATTTCATTTACTTCTCACAATTTTGTACACTAATATTAGCTTTGTGGGCAGAAAAGAGCTTAAGAAGTTTAAATGTAAGAAATTTCACAATTGCTTGGCCAGTAAGGGGCAAAGGCAGAATCAAACTCAAATCTGACTGCAGAGCTCGAGCTCCTTCCCCTACACCAGGGCCTCGCTCATCACTTCTCTGGTGCTTTTCTCCATCCACAGTTTCCCATTCTAAAATTCCATGACTTCATCCACTTGCGCTAACTCAATGGATCCCAGAAATAGAAACTGCATAGTACCCACGCATGGGGAGCTATTTCAGTGTATTCTGTCTCACTAATGGGGAGTCTTTCCCGTGAAAATGGGAAGAGCATAAGAAGGTGTATGTTTTTCACGGAGTAATAAGCTGGTATGTGAATTAACCAGGGCTATTTATTGCTCCCTGATTCCACCCACTTTTACACGAATACATAATTCATTAGTAGCAATGGCAGATCACAGAGCAGAGCAAGGAACAGATGGGGAGGGGAAAAAATACAAATTCCTTTAGCAATTAATTTATTAGCCTCTGGCCCAAAGCTCAGTGGGGACTGAGGGCTGACAGATAATACAACTGACAGATCGTGGAGTCAGACAGACCACCTCCTACGCCATGTTTTGAGCTCATAATTTGTTTGAAGCTCTTCCTGCTGATCACTGGCTAATAAGGACTCCCAGCACCTCCTGAGGTGAGACTTGCTGCCCACAGCCAGAAGCTCTTTCAACTAATTGGATTGGTTTTTTTCACTTGGCAGGATTATCAGGGGAAATAGATGCGCACACCCTGTGCACATTACAAGTGGATGTCTGCATCTCGGATGAACAGAGTGCCTTGCACCTGGGACACAGCTGCGTGAGACGCAGGTCCTGCCCACAGAAAGCTTTTCCTTTACTTTTCCCAAGGCCAGGATACCAGCTACTCCACTTGCAGGACATTAGACTGGTAACTGGTAAAGGGGGGCCTTGCGCTTGCACTGTGATCTGTCAGTGTAAATTGACAGGCAAATCCCTTATTCTGGAGTCGGTTTGGGTTTGAATCTTGAATTTGTCTCTACTTGGCTGAACGCCCTGGGCCAAATTATCTCTCCTCTCCCTCTCTGCCTCAGTTTCCTCATCTGTAAAAGGAACCTACCTGGTGAAGCTGTGACAACATTATATCATCATATCCAGTGTTTGGCAAGTAAAGTGCTCAATGAGTGTGTTCTACACGATGTAACAAGTGCTATAGCACAGACTGCATACGAAGCGAAGCAGTTGTGTCTTCATTTGAAGGCACTCTCCCTCTCCCATAATATGGCACTCAACTAACTTCACAATATGGCACAATGTCCACCTTCTTTCTGTAGCTCTAATTTCCAGAACTATCACGGGCATCTTCAGGGAAGCAATGGATGTGGCTCTAGGCCATCTCACTGAATGCAAAGTCCAGACTCCACCCATTTTTTCTAATGGAAAAGCAGGGAAGAAAAGAAGTGCCTCCCACAAGGATCAGACTCAGAACTAAATAGTTCAGTCCCAGCCAAGGATCCAAGTGTCTCTCTTTTCTTATCTTCCCTGTGTCTGAACAAGACCAGGATGGGCTCCTGACAAGCGGTCCAGTGTGAACAGCCGAGGGAAAAAGCCCACTGCCCTACCTGTGACATCACCGCTGCCATCTCAAATGTCCCCACAGTGTCCATGTTGGCCACAATGATGGGAATCCCTGAGTAGGTCTGCTTGGAGTTTCGAAATGTGAAGGTCCGCTCCAGATCCACCTATTGGCAAAAAGGAAAAAGAACTGTTTGCTCTTTGCATGATTTGTGGGATTTTCTAGAATCAGAAGCAAGTGGAAAGAACACAAAGGAAGTGTCTGTCCCTTAGTCCCTGGATTCGCTTAGTGCTGGGCCAGATGTTCCAAAGACAGGAGAGTCCCCGAGGAGACCGAGTAGTGGCTATTACCCAGGTACAGAAGCTGAACCCGCTCCTCAGCATCCTCAAGTGACAGCGCAGACACTGCATTTTCTGCCATCCATCCAGTCTCCGGATCTGAAGTTCTCTCCTTCAGGAGCCTCTTCCGTAGCACTGCCTCCTCTGTCCCCAGCCTGGTTCATCCTAGCCCTACACCCCACATACACATTCTCTTTCCCCACTTCCCAACACTGGACAATCAGCGCCCCCTCAGAGAAAACCCATTCCACCCTGCCCTGCCAAGCATGGCTCTCCTGCCCTTCTCCCCTTCCACTACAAATTCACTGCAAGTGAGCTGCAAACCATTGATCCCGTCACCTTCCAGCCTTCTCAGCTGTTTTGTAATTAGGAGAATCTTTCAAAGAGCTGGGGAGAGTGCACTGCAACCATCTGTGCACATAAACACTTGTTCCTCTGACTTGCAAACAGCTGGAGGGAGGGCCCTCCAACTCCAATGCAACTCCAGTGTCAGGGCATTGAGGACTAAGTCCTCTACTATCAGGAGAGCTGGGCCATGACGGCAGGTTCAGCAAAAGCAGTGTGCTAGGTGCTCATCCAGAGCTAGCCGAGTAAAACCACTTCTGGGGCAGACTGCAGGCCTGTGTGCTCGCAGACCCATTCCTCACCCTTCTCCTGCCAGGTACCATCACAGGGAGGCCCCCTGCAGGCTCCATTCCCCAGGTTGGTTTCTGGCTGGGTTCAGCCAATGGGGGTCACTGGGTAGGAAACTGGGGGAGAGTGAGCCTGGGTGTAATCAGGGTAGCTCTCCCAGGACCCCTCTGCCGAGGCCTGCAGGATCTTCGTTCCAGCTTTCAGAGCCATCTCAGTCCCTGGGCCTACTAAGATCACCTTCCCCGCTTTGGAAGTGGTTTTTCTCAGCTGCCAGCCTCTGGGGGGCCTCAATATCTCATTTGGCATCTCAGCAATGTCAGGATGTCTTGCATTAAATTCCCTGCTTTAAATATTAAGCAGTTTGTTTCCTTGGCTGGATCTGATGGAAGTAGGCACTTCCCCGAGGAGAGCCAGCAAGAGAAACACAGGGTATATCATAAGCTGGGCCTACCTCCCCGGATCCTGGCCTTCCTGAGTACACCCGCAACAACCATTTCCTGCCGGTGTTTATCTAGTTCCTTCTTTTATTCTTTTCATTTGAGACAAGTTTCACTTTGCTATCAAAATGTCAAAAAAACACCATGGGACATCTCAGGCCGCCTTGCTTTTTCATGTCTCTTGCTTCTCCACACAGGACTCCCTGTCCACCTGGCTTCCTGGGTGAACAATGCCGTAAGTATGTCCACGCGGACCTTAAACAGCAACAGTGAGGGGAAATGAGATGCTGTCACTGCCAGGGCACAGGGGGCAGGTCATCCCTTCTCCAGTTCTTCATTATGATTCTTGGTTCTACTTCAGTGAAGCAAGTCATAGTTAGGTTCTGAAAGATAAGGAGAGGTCGTATTTGTTGCAACCTTCTGTGTTGGTTAATGGCCCTCGGATTTCGACTTCCAGGGCTTAAAAAAATCAGAATTCCTTGGTGCCAAATTACTCTTACACTCTTCCCAAGATGAGATGGGGAGAGATGCTGTCCTGCACTCAGTGTTGCTCACAGTGGGGTTTAGGCACTCCAAAACCGATGGGCGGTGCACAAAAAGAGAGCTCTCCATGGGAAAGATCAGCCTTGGCAATGAACTCTCCCCCTCATGTCTAGTCTTCTCCATACAGTAGGTTCTATACAATCCTTAATTCTAAAAGTGATAAATAAGATGATCTTGCCGTCCTTATCAACACACACACACACACACACACACACACACACACACACACAAAACAGACCAGTTGTTCACTGAGAGATATCTAATTCCAGTCCCCCAGGAACAAAACTTGGAATTTAATCTGCCACAGCTGGTCAATGCACCAAATATAGCACCTCCAAATTGTCACTCTGCTAAACTGATTCGATAGGGAACATAAAGTAATAAACCTCCCCTCTCCCACCTGCAGCCCTTTAAACATACCTTCATTCAAGTCAGCCCGCATTAGAGGGCCTGAAAGTACAAACTGAGGCCCTCTTACGACAGTCCTAAACACCTCATTGCAAGTCAAGCTAGCAAGCTGTTTCATGAATCTTGCTCTATCCTTCTACCTTCACAAACACAGTTTCATTACTGACCTGGGAAGCACCAGGACCTGGTGTCATGGGGAGCCAGCTGGGCCTGCAAGCCACATCCCCTTGCCTTCCACCCAAATCCTGTGTGCACACACATGGACACTCCCGTCCACACATTAGGTTCCGCGCGTGCACACCTCCATTCCCACAAACACCTGCCACTTGGCCACTCTCTGAGGTTAGAGGCAAGCCTACCAGCAGCACGGATGGCCCTTGAGAAAACACACTTGGCGAAGAGACCCTTGGAGGTCTTGGGATCAGCTCCAAGTCACGAGGGCAGGGAAATCCAGGATCCTGAGTACTGGGAGAGGGCCCAGAAGAAACAGCACAGCCCACAGCCCTGTCCAGTGAGGAGGGGGCAGGAGACCCTTTTGCCTCGACCTGTGGATGGTACTAATTAAAGCAATTCTCTTATTAACTGCCTTGCTCATTATCTGTCTCAATGTAGATCACAAGTCTAAGCACAGGGACAAAGCCTTTGGCCTTTGAAGTCCTACTGGCTCAAGTGAAATAAATTAGCCCTGGCCAGGGGGCTCAGTTGGTTGGAGTATTGTCCCCCACACCAAAAGTTTGTGGGGTCAATTCCCAATCAGGGCACATGGGGAAGGCAACCAATTGATGTTTCTCTCTCACATCAATGTTTCTCTCTCTCTCTCTCTCTCTCTCTCTCTCTCTCTCTCTCTCTCTCTCTCCCTCCCCCCCCTTCCTCTAAAATCAGTAAAAACATATCCTTGAGTGAGGATTAAAAACAGGGTGGTGGTTGGGGGGGGGGAGAATAAATTAACATCTGGGCAAGGGGCAAGAATAACATCATTTTGGCTCCCAGCCATTTTCAAGTAATGCTTGGTGGGCCCCAGGCCAGCCCTCCGAATGGGCTCTGATCCCTGGAAGTGTCACCATCCAGTCTCAGGAGAAGCACACGCAGCTGCACATTACCAGACAACCACAGGCTCCACTAATGGAAGGGGTTCCCGTGGCCAGTCCAGAGCATCCACGCACACATGAGAATCATCTTAGGACAATGTCCAAAATACACATGCTTGGGATGCCTCAAACTTAATAAATCAGAACCTTTGTTTTGGGGGACAAGATATGTATTTTCAGAGTGTCTTCCGAGATGATTCTGAGGCATCTGTGAATAACAAGTCTAGTCAAACCTTCTGATTTTACAGAGAAAACCTGTTATGGTTTGTGTCTCCCTGAAAGATGTTGAAGTCTTACCCACTGACCTTATTTGGAAATAGGGTCTCTGCGAATGATCAAGGTAAAATGAGCCCATCAGGAAGGCCCATGCCAATATGACTGGTGTTCTTTTAAAAGGGGGAAATCTGGACACAGACACACAGAAAGGGAGAATGTTATGTGAAGATGAAGGCAGAGATCAAGGTGAGGCGTCTCCAAGCCAAGGAACATATAAGATTGCCTGTAAACCACCAGAGAGAGGGGACAGGAACAGGTGCTCCCTCACAGCCTCAGAAGAAACCAACCCTGCCAACACCTTGACCTGGGACTTCTAGCCTCCAGAACTATCAGACAATAAACATCTATTGCGTAAACCACCCAGACTGGTGCTTTGTCACAGTAGCCCCGGGGAACTGACCCCAAGGCAAAGGCAATAAAATAATTTGTGACAGAGCTTGGACTGCAACCCAGACTTTTTTTCCCAGCCCGGTAGTCTCTCCACCTGCCCTGCTCTCACTCCCTGGCTGAGGACTGCTCAGGCTGGACCAGCACTCTGCTCACTGGACCCCTGGAGAAACAACACTAGAGACTGCACACTCATTGTTTTCCCTGTCCTGGGACAAGTGGACAATTTTCTGATGCAAATTCTCTTCAATACCTCTGACTTCCAAAGTTCGAGTTGCATTAATAAGTTTTTGTTTTGTGTTTTTTTTTAATATCTTACTAGCGTAAGGAATAAGTTGGGACATCTGAGCCAAGAATGATCCCGAGGAGGGATGTGCTCAGGGGATTAAGGGCATTTGAGTTTCCCTATCTATCAATAAAGACAAAGTCTTGCTCTGGCTGGTGTGACTCAGTGATTAGAACATCAGCCCTGCATACCTAAGGGTTGTTGGTTTGATTCCCAGTCAACACCTGGGTTGCAAGACCCATCCCTGCCCAGGCACGGTCGGGGTGCATGCAGGAGGCAACCAACGGATGTGTCTCTCTCACATCACTCTTCCTCTGTCCCCGCCTCTCTCTCTCCTTCTAAAATAAATAAATAAATAAATAAATAAATGGGAAAAAATATCCTTCCGTGAGGCTTAACAAGAACAACAAAAAGACCAGGTCTTGCCTTAGTCAACAAACATGTCAATTCCTCTGGAAAGATGACTCAAATACCCCCACACAGCCCTGTGGCACTTTATTCTGTGCACCAGGGGCTTGATTGAAACTATGAATGTCCCAGCCCACAATGTCTTGTGGGTAAAGGCAATGAATGGATGGCCAGTTGCCCAGCTGGTGCAACCACTGAAAGGCCACCTGGGTCATCCCCACCCGTACCCTTTGCCTCTGGAAGGTGACATCAAATACATTTTATATGACACTTGTGGAAACGCCCCAGCATAAGTGCTCAAACTTCTGGGCTGGGAGAACACTCTGTCCTTCTCTCCACTTCCTGCTCACCGTGATCAGCACCAGGCCTGGCTCTTGGCAACACTGTTGCAGTGCTCAATCTTGTCAACCGTCAAAACTCTCCCTTCTGGGCAAGACTCTGCTCTCAGGGGCATGTTTTCTGTCCTGGCTTCACTCAAATCTGCTTTCTGATTCAGCTCAAAATCCGGTCATTTACCAGTCATTTACCATTGAGCTTCAAATCTGCATTCGGGTATGACTCCTGCCAGGGTGCAGACATTTGGCTTCTATCTGATTGTGCAATGAAAATAGTTTAATCTGCCTCTAAAAAATGTCAGGCATCCACAAGCAAACTGAGAAAACACTGAGAGGGGATCAGAAGCCTCGCTTGACCTAGGCCTAACTACATCCCTCAACACCACTGAAGCAGGCAGTCTGATTATGAGGGGTAGCCAGCCAGGCAGCTGCCTCGGGCAACAGGGAGCTAAACTATTACAGGAACCAATTGGAAAGGCAATGCCAGTTACCTCAGGTTTCCTGGCACTGAGCTGGCAAACTCCCACAAAACTGGAAATATGAAAACCTTTCCCTAGGACACAGAGTTCTCATTGCAATGCTTACATGTAGCTTGTAAGGTGCCATCAGAGGCTGGGTCATTAATCAGCCCAAATTATCAAACAAAATGATATATGATGTCATACTCTTCCCTGGGAAAGAGTAATTCATTCTATTACATAAATTCTAAATGTTTTACTTTCTCAAGATGTTTCCTGGTTCAGAAAATACATATAATATATCCTTGTTTCAAAAATATAATTTTTCTTAAAAGTTCCTCTCTACTGAGTTCTGAACAAATATTTAGAGCAGTGGTTCTCAACCTTCTGGCCCTTTAAATACAGTTCCTCATGTTGTGACCCAACCATAAAATTATTTTCGTTGCTACCTCATAACTGTAATGTTGCTACTGTTATGAATCGTAATGTAAATATCTGATATGCAGGATGGTCTTAGGCGACCCCTGTGAAGGGGTCGTTCGACTGCCAAAGGGGTCGCGACCCACAGGTTGAGAACCGCTGATTTAGAGAATATTGAGAACACCAAATTATTAGCCTGCCTAGAATCCCTACATCTCGTCTTAGTTTGGTCTTAGGTACTGACCACAGCTTATACTTGGGGAAGCCCAGGCTGGCCGTGCAAACTAGTTATTCTTCTTTAAAGTCTGCCCCCTCTTTAGCACGTGAATGAACATGAAGAACAGGCACAGTCCCCCAACTGGCTAGCATGACAAGGGTTAACCGTTCCTCTCCTGCCTATTCCATCCTCTCTGGCCGCAGCCCACCAACCCTCCCGCTTGAGACTGAGAAGGTGACTTGGTTCTGGTCCTTGGCTAAAGCAGGAGGCCTCCCTAATCCAAACAAGCCCTCGGCGGGCAGCGCCAGGCACTGCAGTTGAGCTGGGGCATTGGTGGGCAACCCGCCGATTTATTTATGGTCTTTGGACTGAGGTGTAAGGAACAGCGTGCTGGCTCAGCCTCCTCCTGTTTACTCCTGTGGCCGCAGCCTCCAGGCCCAGTCCAGCTCCCTCGCCTCCCTCCCTAGCTCTCAGCAGACCAGGCAAAGCCATGGTCACCAGCACACACCACTCCGGGGGACTCTGCCTTTCTGTGCAGCTAGTTTAACCTTCAGAGTTTGACCTTCCTCCTCACCAGTAGGGGCATCCCAACCCCCACACCGAGGCTATTTCCAGTCCAGTCTCCACCTGTTCTTCACGCTTTGATCCAGTTTGCCCCCCAACCCCACACCCGCACCCCAGTGCTTTCAGCTTCGCTAGGACTGGGCAGCTGTCCAGTAAGGAGGGTGCCACTAGGCACGGGTCCCAGCCTCCCTCCCAGCAAGGCCACTGAAACGCGGAGAGTAAACCCTGAAGTTTCCCTGTTTTTCAAATATTTTAAAGAAATTCTACTGCTGGATCTGACACTAAGCCAATAGCAGTTTTCCGCACGAAGAAGCAGCGTCAAAATCACAAGTCTCTTCCGTTGTTTCTCCTCTCCTTTTATGATCTGGCTCCACTGTGTCCTTTTCCCCCTAAATGCACCCGTCCTGCCTCCCCATTCTCTCTCCTCATTGGGCCACTTGATCTTGCTCCTCTGCGGTCTAGCTCTAACACGGACTTCCCGGCCCACCCAACCGAAGCTTTAGAATGCTAGGCCCCAGCTGGGCCCCCTGAAGACACCTCTGTCCTGGCAGGGAGCCAGCTGGCTTTCCCCTTGCCCAGGTCGCACCCCAGCCATCCTCAGACCCAGAAAAGCAGGCGAGGTGTTGCCACATTGCTCCTCCTTCTACCACCTGCCCCGCGCCACCCAGAAGCCGGCCCACCCCAAGGCGGCGTTGGGAGCGTCCCACCTCTGCTCGGCTCTTGAGGCTGCTGCGCTTGGGTCGCAGGAGGACATCCTTGAAGTCCAGCTTGAGGTCCGCATCGATGCGGGGCATGGTGCGGGTCGGCTAGCCTGGAGCCGGCAGCTCCTTCCTGCGGCGCGCGCGCGGGGCGGGCACGGCCCGGGCGCAAGGCGGGGCGGCGGGCGAGGAGCGTGGGGAGGGGGGGCTAGGGGGACGGGGCGGGGGGGGGGGGACAGGAGGCGGGCGCGGGGCTTGCGGACCCGGCGCGTGGCGGGCAGGAGGTGCGGAAGCCCGTGCTCGTGGCGCGCCGGGCTCTTAAGGACCCGCCCCGCCCGGCTCAGGGGTGGGAAGGGGAAGGGGTGGAAAGAGGAAGAGGTAAAGGGGAGGGGCCGGAGGGTTAGGGATCCACCAGTGGCCGGGAAGTCCGCTTGACATTTTTAGCAAGTGCCCTCCCTCCCTCCCAAACCTCGGTTTATAGCCTAGCAGGTTGCGGTGCCTGAATTGGCGGCGGGGGAGGAGGGGGACTGGACACCACCCTGTCTGTTACCGGGTTCCTCGGAGGGAGGAGACTTGGCGTGTGACAGCCTTTCCCAGGGGAAAAGGCCACTCTTTGAACGGTTTTGCGTCTCCGTTCTCTAATTTCAAGCCCAGTGTGTCCACCAAGCGCTGAGTCAGACCTTCACATGCCAAAACATAAGAAACCCTTGGGAAGCCCCATAGAATTAAGGAAAAGAGTGTGGCCAGGTAGCAGCAACGGGATTGACACAATTTTCTGATCTCTGGATTTCAGGGTGGGTTGGTTTTTATGTGTGTGTGTGGTGTGTTTTTTTTTGGAGGGGGGCTGTTAATCCTCACACAAGGATATATTTTCCAGAGGGGGAAAGAAATGACCACATCCCGGCACACGCCTTGGGGGGCAGGGGGATCAAACTTGCAACCCTGGTAGTACCCATGATCCTTGGTGTGGGCCCACGCTCTAACCACTGAACCACACTGGCCAGAGCTTGGTTGGTTTTAATAAAGGTAGTGAAGTCCATAATCATCATAGATCCTGGGATTTAACGGACCTGAGCCCCCTCTCTGGAGTTGCCAGTGATGTCAGTTTATTTTTAATTCACTTGTTGACCTTGGGAGTCTTAGGGAGCTTAGGAATGTGCTTAACAGGGCTTGGCCTGCACTTGCTCATTCACTCTCCCAATGACCCAATGAAGAAGGAGCCAGTTTGCAGATAAAGAAGATGAGGATCATGTACATGAAATATCTTCCCTGTGGTTGCAGTAAAAAATATAAATATCTCTGTCCTTAACATACAATACAAACTGAACTAGTGCTGCTTTTGCCCTGAGACCCCTCTCTGCCTGGCTTCAAAATCTGACCCCTCCTATTTCTAGATGGATGACCTTGGGGGAGTCACTTAATTTCTCTAAACCTCAGTTTCCTCATAGGTTAAAAAGAGAGGGAAAGAAAAAGAGTGCTGTCCTCTCCCAGGCTTATCCTATCTAATAAAAGAGTAATATGCAAATTGACCATCACTCCAACACACAAGATGGCCACCCCCATGTGGACACAAGATGGCCTGCAGGGGAGGGCAGTTGGGGGCGATCAGGCCTGCAGGGGAGGGCAGTTAGGGGGGACCAGGCTGGCGGAGGAGGACAGTTGGGGGGGGACCCAGGACTGCAGGGGAGGGCAGTTGGGGGGGACAAAGCCTGCAAGGGAGGGCAGTTGGGGGGGACCAGGCCTGCAGGGGAGGGCAGTTGGGGGCAATCGGGCTGGCAGGGGAGAGCAGTTGGAGGCAATCGGGCTGGCAGGGGAGCAGTTAGGCATTGATCAGGCTGACAGGGGAGTGATTAGGGGGTGATCAGGCAGGCAGGCAGGCAGGCGAGCGGTTAGGAGCCAGAGGTCCTGGATTGTGAGAGGAATGTACGACTGCTAAACGGGCAGTCTGACATCCCTCAAGGGGTCCCAGATTAGAGAGGGTGCAGGCTGGGGTGAGGGACACACACCCCCCATGCACGAATTTCATGCACCGGGCCTCTAGTGTGATAAATAAATAAAATAAATAAATAATTAGTGTTTGTGTGCGTGTGTGTGCACTCGTGCACGTGTGCATGCTAATAACCATTATAAAATAGTTCATATCCTAATGGACACACACACAATGCATATTCCATAGTTGCTCAATAAATAGTAGCTAGTTATTGGAGGTCACGTGTTACATTATATGAATAATATTATATATCCTCAAACTAGCTTGCTAAATACTCAAAAGCAGTTGTCTGCAGCCTGGAACTGTTCTCAATGAATTCATATTTTGTATGGCTGACCATAAAGACACATCATAATATGCCTTATAAGTGGGGGTTGTGGTTTGGAACTTCAAAGGACAGGAAGGCAGTTCACATGGAGAAGGAAAAGCAAATAATGGTGAATCAATGTTTGCTGGGCCATCTGTAATGATGGGACACAGAGAGGACTTTGATTAAAGGGGCCTTGCTAGCTTCCTGCTATCTATCACACACTAGTTCATGTTAAACTTATTATGTATGGTATTTATTACCTCCCTTTCTAGAGCAGGTCCTCTACCAAAATTCTTTTAGGCAATTAGGAGGAAGTTTAAAGGTTTTTCCTGAGTCTTTTGTTTCTTGAAAAATAACCACTATAAAATAGTCCATATCCTAAAGAGGCTGATTTTGGGGTGGCAAAGTTTGCTTCCCCTCACGGTCTTAGCCCATCCCACTTACTCTCATCATCTTTGCCCTACAGGAAGTCCTTGATGTTTCATGGGAGGAAAACGAAAGTTATCAGGAAGAGAATCAAAGTAACCACAATTAGTCCAGCTAACAAAATATGACTCTTATGAAATCGTTGGGAGCCAGCCAGATGTGCTGCTTATTTCCAAAGTAGTGAGGGAGCCTACTTCTGATCTTGAGTTCCTAATTAAAAACAAAATAAAAGAAAAATATAATTACTATATGGTGTGGTTATTTAAAAATAATTCTCCCTACAGGACAAAGAAACTAACCCTGTTAAGCATCCGCCTGAGGTAAAGTGTAGGGGTGAGTGAGGGCTTTATATTTATTGTTAGTGCACTGTCTTAAAGGAAAAGCAATCCTTAGCTTGAACTTGCTCATGTAGCTCTCCCTCTTGGTTTCTTGCCCACTTCCTTTCAATTAGAATAAAGACAGAGTTCACATTACACATTACATTCCCTCTCCTTCTGGAATATTTCATCATACCTGCTCTCTTGTCAGGCACAAAACCATACTCTATAGAGTCAACATGAGTCCCTGATTCTCCCACACCAACCTAAACTCCTTTAGATGTACATTGTACCTTCTACATAATCATGTTATGCTTCTTCTTACACTAATAATAATGAAAGTCACCCCTCAGTACAAGGACTTCACATTAAAGTTCTGACTGACTAGACAAAGCCATAAGAGATATCGAGAATCCAATCTGTTAACATTGTATTATCTAACTAGAGGCACGGCGCACAAAATTTGTGTGTGGGTACAGTCCCTAGGCCTGGCCTGTGATCAGGGCCATCTTCCCTGGCTGCCTGCAGCTAACCCCACTCCCCACCGCCACCCACCCCAGTTCCCCATTCACCATCAGGCGATGGGAGCCTGCCAGCCGGGGAAAGGGACCAAGAGGTGGTCAGTGTGCCTCATAGTGACTGGTCGAGCAGTTGTTCTGGTTGTTCTGCCGTTAGGGTCAATTTGCATATTACCCTTTTATTATATAGGATGGTAGAGTGGTACTGAAAATTACATGAGACTATAACCTTCAAAATTATGTGAGCTAAAACCCACTTGGTTATAGTGGTAATAATTTTATATACTCATGAATTGTTTGCTAATACTTTTTTAAAGGATTTCTGCATCTAAGCTCATGAGGGACATTAGTCTGTAGTTTCCTTTTATCAGGGAAATAGCACCCTCATAGAATGAGTTGGGAAATGTTCCTTCACTCTATTTTATTTTCTGACAGAGATTACATAGGATTGAAATTAGTTCTTTAAATATTTAATAAAATTAACTAGTGAACTAAAATTATGTGGGATGATATAATTGTTTATTTTTTGTAGATAAGCTTCCCTCAAAACCCAGAAATAATTAAAATTAAGTATTAAAAAGTTTGTGCTATTTCAAAATTATAATATTAAATATGAGGATAAGAAAGAGTTAATGCATATTTGATATTTTGTGTATTTATATTTGAGAAAATTTGTACAGTTGGATTAACAAAATAGCCTTCTAATGCCAATTCAAAATGTATACTTAAGTAATTGAATTAAACTTATGAGTAGAAAGTAAAGTGTATTAAATTTATGTAGATGGTTGGAACATTTAAGAGAAGATAAGTTTCATTTGCAATACTTACAAAAGTTGATAAATGTGGAAAGTTCAGCTAGTTGGGGAGTTCACTGCTTTACTATGCATAATAGTTGCTGGGGATCTTGTGAAATTCGGATAATGCCTCAGTGGGTCTGGGGTGGTTTTGCTTTGGTTAGCATGCATGATAATCACTGGGAACCTTGAGAAAATGCAGATTTTGCTGCAGTAGGTCTTGGGTGGGGCTAGATGTTTTGCATTTCTAGCAAGTGCCTAGATGAAGAAATTAGAGTTCCACTGTGAGTAGTGTGGGGTCCAGAATGAGTCACCCCAAAATGTGCCTCTGTGGTATGCAAATTGTTTTAAGCTAAAGACAACTTTAGTGAAAGGCTCAAGAGAAACTTCCAGCTGAGGGACATCTGTGTCTCTTGTTTGTTTATTTATTTTAATAATAGTTTCATTGAGATATAGTTCACATACCATGCAATTCACCGATCTAAAGTATACCATTCAATGATAGTCTATTCACAGAGTTGTGCAACCATCATCACAATCCATTCTAGAACATTTCATCACCCCGAAAAGAAGCCCCACAGTGCACTTTATCCCCACTTCCCACGGTCTTAGACAACCACTAATTTACTATCTCTATGGATTTTCCTATTCTGGACATTTCATATAAATGGAATCATACAATATGTAGTCTTTTGTGACTGGCTTCTTTCAAGATTCATCTGTGTTGTAACATGCATTGGTACTTTATTTCTTTCAATGATCAAATGATATTCTAGTCTCCTTAAATTTTGCACCTTAAATGCTTTGCTTGCTTCACCCTAGTCCCAGTCCTATAAC